CTGCTACTAACTGCTTTTTTTTTCTCCTGATGATGGGCATGCTGGCCGAAACTAGTTGAGGAACCTAACTGAAATGATCAAACAAAAAATATAAATACTATTATAATCCCGCATTTTTTTCGTCCAGTTAACTGATGCTTTTGCCACATTTAGGGATTGTTGGGGTTTTTTTATTACTAACCTTATTTTGTTTTGTTTTCATGTAAATAGTATTAATTCATATTGTAAATAATCATTGGTTTTTTTTTTAAATTGTTGTTTTTATTCCCCTCTCCCCACAGACTTTGAAATGTACATATGGTTAGGATTTCATAGAGACATTGAGGTATTATGGTGGACGTAGTAAGAAAGGTAGGAGTGAATGTGTTGTTTTGGTGATAGGACTATTGTTGGTATGTTTGGGTCCGTGTCTGTGACTAGCTAAGTTTAGATTTAAGACAGAAGACAGTCCTTTTCCCCAATCCCCTTTTGGCCTTGTGCCACATTTTGTACTATCGTACAAATAAATATCTATTCCAATAAGACGTTTACAAAACTCAAGTTGTACGGATCATATAAAGGATATAATAAAGTTTTTATAGGCTTTTTTTTTCTTTTGTTGACAATTATGCATTCTTTCTTCTTGACATTTAGTCATTTCTTCTCACTTTCCTTTACTGCCTTCCGTAGATGTTTCTGTAGTTTCCGCTCTGTATCGTTTTTTTTTAAATAATATTCGCCCAATACAAGGCCCAAGAGTCACTCAAGGTAGAGGGTTACTGTGTGGAATTATATTCGCGTAGGAAAGGACACGTGTTAGGTGTATAGAGTTGAAATAGACTTTAGAAGGAATCCGAAACCCACTTAAACAGGTAACAACGGATAAACCGCTACTCCAGTTCAAAAGATAGAGGAAAAGTGTAAACCGAACAATAGGGGAACATATCTACTCAAACTGCTATCAACACCGTGTCATCTGCATATCTCATGTTGTTAAGATTGTGGCCGCCAGTAATGAATCCTGGTAGGGCTTATAATTCTCTCAAAAACGCCTTACTGTATAGGTTGAATAAGTCTGGTGAGAAGACACATCCTTGTCTTACGCCACTCTTCGACTTTCTGTACATTTACTTAATACATTTTCTATCTGCATGCAAGCAGGATAAATTCTATATTATTCTAATATATTTCCCAAATAATTCAAGCTTGCCTAGCAGTTCTAAAAGTTCTTTGTGACGGACCCTGTCAAACGAGTAATTTATAAACCAACCTAGAGCGACTATTATTAATCCAGTGAGTTTTTTTTTTCCTCCTTCATTGTCAGCTACCTTCTTTATCGTTGGCCCAGAATACATACATATTTTTCAATGGGTTTTGTAAATCCGGCATTTTATCTAGAAACGTTATTCTGGGGGAGTGGAGAGTACACGGGTTTGAGTTGCTATCCTTGTTTTTTTTTTTGTTTTTTTTATTTTCTTAAACGGGGAAATAATAACAGCCGACCCAAACTGAGGAGACAGACTAAAGAAAAATTGTATCCCGACCCCGTCAGGAAAGGAAACGGTATCAAAATACGGAGTTAGGCCTCTATCTAGCGTATAGATCGCCCCCACCTCAACATATAGTAGGCTACCAGTGGCCTAAAACTTAGGCATAACGGTAAATTAAGTTAGGCTACAGTGAATATAAGCTGTGCCAAATGCATATAAGGCCACACCAGTTACCTATATATTGAGACAGTAAATGAAATATATTTCTATATGCGTTGTACAACAAATAACCTACGACACACACGGGCAGGTACCACATATTATATAAGGTATAACTTAGTGAACATTTAACATTTGTCAGGTCTACTGACAAACGCATTAAAGTCAATACCAATTCCTATATATATATATATACATATATATATATATATATATATACTATTTACATTATTTGGACTATTGTCATCTTTGTACCCATATTTATTACAACGTTTCAGACGTTGTACGCTCCGGCCTTCTTCAGGTGTTTGGAATGTCGAACTGAACCCTTTATCTACTTGTTAAGGCAGTAGAGAACTTGGAGAGGGGAATTCACAGGAGATAACAGATAACTGACACCCATTAAACATGGCACGTGGAACTAGAACAGTCTACCCCAGTGAGCGAAATAAAGGGTTCACTTCGACATTCCAAACACCTGAAGAAGGCCGGAGCGTACAACGGCCAAAAGGTTGTAATAAAAAAAAAAACACATTTGGCGACAAAGATGAGGAAAATAGGCTGAATAATGTAAATAGTGTCTATAATAACTCATCTCAGAAATATATATATATATATATATATATATATATATATATATATATATAAAAAGAAGAGAGAAACTTCAAACGTTTTTGGTTGTAATGTGGATTTTTAAAAAATATATCATGCATTATTTTCCATAATTTTGCTACACGGGTTTCCGGTCCCGCGACCTTCATCAGGCAAAGATTGAATATTTCCACATATTATTAAAAGGAATTAATTTTTCTTATGTTTTTCGATGTTAAATATTATCGATATTAGACATTCTCTTTTTTGTGTGTTAGTGACTCTAATGTCTTTCTTGAACTGGCAGTGAAAAATTCTGTGTGAAGGGTAATAAAACAATTAAGACTGGTCCGAGAAAGGGTGAAGTCTTCTTCACCCTTTCTCGGACCAGTCTTAATTGTTTTATTATTATCTATATTCTTATTGACCCCTGTGTGGTCTTAAATCTATTTCCATTTTTTTTTTGTCAGCATGCGTACGCATACATAATTGAATAAATTACAGACATTATGTCTGCTAATTTTTAACAAAATCCGTTCATACTCGCGAATAACCTTCCGTGTATTGACGTTAAAGGATTAATATTATTTACTTCAATATGCTTTTTCAAAAGGCCACGTTTAAATTGCCAGGAGATATTGTTCAGGTGGGCAATTTAAACATGGTCTTGTGATAAGGCAGATTGAGTTAAATAATGTTAATCCTTTAACATCAATACACAGAAGACGTGCCTAAAAAGAGAATTTGCTACCTAAAACACACACACACACACACACACACACACACATATATATATATATATATATATATATATATATATATATATATATATATTGATTTTCTAAGCGTTGCTTAGATATGGCACAAGGCCAAAAATATGGGCACCAAATTGAGGACCAAACTCACTATTCAGGCGTCTGGATAGGCATGTAGTAGACGCCTTACATTACACATATCCGACCACAGCTCTATTAGAACCCATTTAAACACACCCACAAACTTACCAGATTCAATCAGAAACATACCAGTGGAAACATAATAACCTCATCCACATGTAAATAAGGATTAGAAATAATGGAAGCCTTAATAATAAAAAAGAAAAAGCCAACACTTAATAATATTAACTACGAACACGGCCACAATGTTCTAACTGTGTTCGAGAAATAAAACATCCCTATAACTCTAGAAACATACACACAACCGATACAGCCAATTAAAAAGCAAAAATAAAATCATCCTTGATAATGCCTGAAAGTATAGCCGAAAGCGGTCGGAATTATAGAACCTTTGAATAGTTTATACACATTCTGTGTCAGAAAAAAAAACACTTGTTCGAACACAAGAAAAAATACATAAAAAAGCTTTAGCGTAGTACCTTGGCTGTCGTCTTTAATCAAACATGTATAAATGAGGGATTGCTGCCTATATATATATATATATATATATATACATATATATATATATATATATATATATATATTGGGGCAGCAGAACATTATTCAAACGTATATTGTTTAAATATAACAGACAATAAATGTCTATTATGCTTCAAACTTCGTATGGTTGCTTTAATTTCGGGTAAAATTAAAAAAACATTTCTTAGAAAAAAAAATAGCCATTGACAATTATATTAGGCAGATATTATTTGATAACACAACAATACTAATGCATGCACACAGTAAAAAGAACTTTCAGATATTGGGGGCCATCTACATTAAAACAAAGCAACCCATACTTAACAAAATTACATTTTAAACTAGTCAAAACACATTAGATTGCATCTAGATATATGATTCTAATACTTCGGTCTCCAACGTCACAGAACCGCATCATGAATTTACGAGCTGCGTCTGCTATAGCGCGACCGTTATCGTTGCAAAGAAAACTTCTACGTAAACATAACAGGATATCATCTTTGATGGTGAATATCTTTATTGAAATGTCCTTATAACCATTCTTAAGATGACTCATGTGAGTCGAAAGCTTAAATCAAGGACTCACTTAATAAAAAAATATTCAAATATTGGACAATTTTTGTCTTTAATTTCACCCGAAATTAAAGCAACCATACGAAGTTTGGAATCAGTGTGCATTTGTTAAACAAATATCAGTGATACATGTTTATTCTTTTTGATCGCCCGGTAAGAGATTAAGAATTCTACTGTCCTTGCAAATATTTTCAAGTGTATTTTACTAACAAGGTATTAACAACAACTTCAAAGCAATGTCAAATCTTTATATTCTGCAATGATGGTCACCTCCCATTATGAGTGTCGTCTTTTGAAGTTAGGGTAAGCCAAAATTTTTTTCTGTGAGTCCCCCACCTTGTAACATCCGAACAAAACAGCCCATCCCGTACCGCTAATATGTGGCGTTTATTTACCTGACCTCACCAGTAAAGTAATATGTAACACAAGGGCTTTTTTATGTGGGTTACCCATACACATGAATATGCACATGGGCTAAGGGAAAAACTGCGCAATCTCCGCGGCCATTGTCACAGTGTCGATATTACACCGACCCCGACTTCTCTTACGGCAATAAGAGTTACTGCCACAGGACTGGAATCCCCTCTCAGACCGATCACCTGTTCCAAACTTAAATGAAGGGGAGAAGGTATTTAACTGGTTTCCCCACTAAGTCAGGATGTGACACAAGTTTTTTGGGTTTTTTTTTTTAAATTTACAAGCCATTCCTTTTCCCAGTTAACCTTTTCGATAGCAGTTGCCATCACAAATTATTTTACATCTCTCTCTCTCTCTCTCTCTCTCTCTCTCTCTCTCTCTCTCTCTCTCTCTCTCTCAGACGGGATGTAGCAAACCTCTCACTGCTCTATCGCTATTTCCATGGAAAGTGCTCGGACGGTCTGCATTTCTTAGTTCCACCAGTTCTAACCTTCATGGCTAGGACCCGCCATGACACTCACATGGTAACAGACCACCTCATAGCCTCCGTATTCCACTGGTGAGAAGTTCCACTCAAACATCTTCTTCTCGCTAACCACTGTTACATGGAATTGCCTCTCAAGAGAATGTTCAAAGCTAGTCATTGTCTTGCCCTCCTATCCGCATAAACTGCCTCTTAGTGAACCTCTACCCCAAGTGGCTCCCGGGCCTTGTCACTGTAAAAAAGCATAAATTCTTAGCTGGGGACTGATAGAGGTAATTTGATCATTTAGACTGATATTAGATATTTCTATGGATTATTGTGCGTTAATTTGTGTGGCTTTTTAGGCCCTTTTTCTATTGGCCGTGTCTCTTCAGGATGGGAACGATCATCACCCCCTGTTCCTCCATCCAATTGACATAAGCTAATCAGGCAGAGAACCAACTACACTTTGTCCCTTTTGCCTTCGATATGTCCTGTGAATTTCAAAATTTCCAAACCTTCTTTCCTCATTATGTGTCCCAGAAAATTAACCACTTTCTGATTCTGAGTATAAGCTTTTAGTTAGCATTTTACTTAAGACATCCTTGTTGCTTACACACCTCGTCCGTGGAATTCTCAGGATCCTACTGTAGAACACCTTTTCTGTTATCTCCATTCTTCTCTTTATCTGTGAGAAAATGGTCCCGCATTCACTGTCATATAGTAGGATTTATATTAGATAGCAGTTCACCGTTTTTTTACTTTCTTTCTAACGAAATTTTCCTATCTTTTAACATTTAATTCAGTTTTTGGAAGGCATCTTCCGCTTATTCCAATGTGCCTTCGGATTTCGGTGTCACATTTTTCGTTACCTGTTAAACCACTTCCTAGATATTTATATTTCTGTACTTGTTTGATTTTTGACATCAGCAATTCGTAGTTCACACCATCAACCGCAGAAATTGTCGGTCCCCTCATTAATCGCAGAAGTTGTTGGTCTTCCCATCAACCGCGGAAATTGTTGATCCCACATTAACAGCAGAAATTGTTAGTTCCCTCATTAATCGCGGAAATTGTTGGTTCCCTATTAACCGCAGAAATTGTCGGTCCCCCATTAACCGCGGAAATTTTTGGTCTCCATTTAACCGCGAAAAATGTCGGTCCCCCATTAACCGCAGAAATTGTTGATCCTCATTAACCGCCGAAATTGTTGGTCGCCCCATTAAACGAGGAAATTGTTGTTCCCCCCATTTAACGCGGAAATTATTGGTCCCCCATTAACCGCGGAAATTGTTGGCCTCCCATTAATCGCGGGGACTGATGGACGGGTGACTGAGTTCAATTGACGGCCTGAATTTCTTAGAGGAGGAGGAGGAGGAGGAGGAAGAAGAAGACAACTACTGCTGTTAAACAGCCATTGAACAAGTTCTCGGCTTGTGCCGCTTTCGTTATCTCGCCCACAAAACTGTCCGGCTTTTGTTAAATCATTTTGTTTGTATGACAATGACGACCGAAGACGAAAAAGCACAAAGCGAGAAACATGTTTGCTTTCTATGGCGGTTACTTAGCATCGGCGGCGTTTGAGGGAAAAATTGGTAGAGCAAGGATGAGCGAAACAAGAGTACCACGAGATGTGGGCGGAGATGACGAGATTATGAAGGGATAGTGTTCAAGTTTAGTCAAAAAGCCAGAATTTCTATATAGATTCTTATCATTTGAAAGATTGACGCCACACAGTCTTCTCATTTATTTCATTTGATCTTTTCTTTAGTAAATATCATTGGAACAGAGGCGGAGAAAGAAAAAAATAAAAGAATGAAAGAAATAAAAAAAGAAAGAAAGAAACAGCAGGCAAAGTAGAAATATTTATAAAAGAAAAGTAACAGACAAGTAATTATTAAAAGAAAGAATAAAAAGAAAGAAAGAACGAAAATGAAGCAATATATATAAAGGAAAAGAAAAAGAAATCGATGATAAAATACAGAGTAACGAAAGGAAAAAGAAAGAAAAAGAAAGAAAAAAGAAAAAGAAAGAAAGAATAAAAAGAAAGAAAGAATAAAAATGAAGCAATATATATAAAGGAAAAGGAATAGAAATGGAAATCGATAAAATAAAGCGTACTGAAAGAAAGAAGAAATAAAGAAAGGAAGAAAGAAAGAGTAAAAATGAAGAATAAATATATAAAAGAAAATAAAAGGAAATCGATGATAAAATAAAAAGTAACGAAAGAAGGAAAGAAAGAAAGAAACAAACAAAGAAACAAACAAACAAAACACATTTGACTAAAAATCTGGTGATGTATATAAGGAAACAAAAAAGAAAAGAGACACTACTAGCAAAAAAAAAGGTGGAGATATTAAATGAAAAAGAACGAGAAAGACAGAGATAAAATCCATAGGGAAAAAAACGGAGAGAGACTAAGAAGAAGAAGAAGAAGAAAGAAGAAGAAAAAGAAGAAATCGAGTAAATTTTGTCCCGCTCATTCGACGCGAGGGAAAACTGCACCGATGTAAGTACAGCACAAAAGCAAACGGGAAACATTTAGGTCGTTAACGGACAAAACATCTACGAACGAGTGTAGAGGACGAGAAGCTAAGAAAAGAAAAATATCTTAAGGTCTAAGGATTGAGATAGGCGGGCACTGAAAGAAACACAGAGAAAAGCATTTGGTAAAGACCGCGGAAAGGAAACTAAATAAATAAAAATCGTTTTTCTATTGTTTTTCGTGTTGTTTTTTTTCTTTCTTTCTTTTGCGGCCAACCCGTGCCAACAATAGGATTATTTTTAAACAACCTGTTCATGTCACCCTCAATATCACTGACAGAATATACTTAAAAAAAAAAAGAAAAAAAGTCACTTTTTTTCATTCGTCGTAACAACTGCATAGAAACTTACACAACAATTTCAAGCAGCGGAGAATGAAAACAAAATGAAAGAACCACAATTTTAATTTTGGCATTTGCAATTTTTCCTCGCTGCTTTTAAAATTATTCCGATAGGCTCGGATTTAGCTTCATTTTCTGAATAATTAACCTACATATTTGTGGGTGGAGGGGAGCATAAATAATTTCTGTTTTTGTTTATCATATTTTTCTTCAAAAAAATAAAATACAATTACATTTTATTCCATTACATTCTTTGCCACGTCTTGTTGCCACTTATCGGGCAGCTCTTTGATGCCTTTTTGAGTAGAATTCCGCAGGTTTTGATGTGAACAAAGATTTCGACGAACTCTGGTTTTCATTAGAGAAAATCCTCCCCGCCATCAAAGTGTTTTGCAGCGGTCTAAAAATGTGAAAACCGGTTGATGCAAGGCTCAAGCAAATAAAGCGGGTGGAGCAAAATCAGATCAACCGAATTCCAGTTGTTTGGGGGGGGGGTTCATCTCATTCTTATTATATGCGGCCTTGCGTTGCCATAGAGGAGAATAAAAGTTACCTATTGATGAGAGTCAGGGAGCTTCTCTGCAAACTTTTATGGACTCATTGCAGCTGTTGGAAGCATGTATGTGCATTTACTGTTTCATTGCATTTTAAGAACTGTAAATGAATAATTCTCTGACAATCCCCACCCCACACTCATCATTACTTTCTTTCTAAGGAGCTCAGTTTTTCTTCTTTTTTTTTTTTTTTTTGCTGTGCTGTGGGGGGGTGCTTGTAGAGAGTTATCCTTGTCAATCTACTGCCTTTGCGTTGAATATTGTTCTATGTAGCGTAACCCAATCTTCATCACCTGTTGTGATATATTTAAAGAACGGTTAGTTAGAATGATACATACGGCATTAAAATTGGGTCCCCAAAACGGAAATTACTTATGACTCATTCTAATGGGTTCTGCATGCATATAGATACAGGGTAGAAAGGGTCCATCCCACTCCGCGCAGAATAATTTATAATAGGGATCTTGGGAGCGTGTGTTATTCACAGAAGAAGAAGAAGAAGAAGAAGGAGGAGGAGGAGGAGGAGGGGGTTACTTAGCAAAGTGAATAAAAATAATAGCTACACAAGACCAGCGACTGTTCTAGATAATAAAGAGAAAAAATAAGCAAAACAAGGAAAGAAAGAAAGAAATCTATATAAAGAAAGAAAGGAAGAAAGAAATTTACACACAAAAAAACGAAACTGTCTGAAAGAAAGAAGAAATATACAAAGAAAGAAGAGCAAAAATGTCTGAAAGAAAGAAGAAATTTATACGAAGAAAAAAACGCAAAAATACCTGGAATAAAGAAAAGAAAGAAAGAAATTTATATCAAGTAGAAAAAGAGAAAAATATCTGAAAGAAAGAAAGAAAGAATTAAATGGAAGAGAAAATCCTATTCATAATATCTTTCTTTCTTTCTTTTCTTATTTTTTCGTAAGATCCCTATTATAAATTATTCTATGTGGTGGTGGGAATGTACCCTTTCTACCCTGTAACCTCATTTGTAAAGATTAATATGCATAAAAAAACTATTAAGATGAGTCAAAAGGGAGAGAAAATGTCTGAAAAATATAATAAATGAATGAAAAAATGAAAAAAAATAAATAAAAAAGATAGAAAGACATTATAAGTAAGATTAATTAAACAAATTCATGAAAGCGTTCATTAAGTCTCACGTTTAGGAAGAAAATATGGTGGCAAAAATTGATAGAAATGAAACAATAATTCCAGCTTTATTTCAAAGATGATTACATTTAGACACCACCACTCTTCTTTAAGTGTTGTGTTCCTTCAGGATGTTGGCGATCATGGTTCTCCATAATTTCCTGTCCTTTATAGCTCTTAATAAAATTTATCTTTTTGTTATATGTTCTAATCCTTGTTCTGCTAAATATTTACACAAGCTCGTTCTTCATATTCTTCTATGTACCGTGTCCTTCAGGACGTGGGTGATCATGGCTCTTCACAACTTCCTGTCATCTTTCCTAAAACTTGTTCCGCCATCCATTTAACCTCTAAGTAGCA